CTCATGTTAAAGCCCTGGGATATAGAAAGAGTTTCCTTTCCTGTCAGCTACCAGCTGTTTTACACCTTTCAAACGACAACTGGGCAGAAATTTGATCCTCATTCAGGTTATGGTCTCAATCTGAAAATTTAGCTTTTTGAGACAATAACTCCACCATATTGTTTCCCATGCTTTGCTGTACACAGACCTGAAAGATATTCTTCAAATCTTGTAATTAAATTCAGAAGATTTAAATACAAACTGTAGAGGGGAATAAATCAGTAGCATCAATTTAGAAACTGAGTTTCAAGGTAGCACACGCTCTTTCTTGGACCTTTAGAGTGTCACCACATAAATATTTAATACCCTTTTAAAGCAGCTGATTTAACATGTGAAGTAGACTTAACGATTTCTTCTGCTTCACCCCCTCTTCCCCAAACACATTTAAATAAACCAATGTCTTTGTGGCCTCTGCAACTGTAATTCCATGTCTCCTGGGGGCACAAGGTTTAGGTGAAGAATGGAGACCATGGACCCTTTTGGGATGAGGATTAGCTTTAATCTTGAGGTGATTCTTGCAGTTGTAGGACTCTGTGTTCTGGGGAATGTGAGCTGATGGATCATTCCTGATGGGACTCTATTTTTCCATGAAATACTACCAATGCAAAACAGATTGACCTTGGAGCCCACAGGAGTCAACTTGATGAAGAGCTTAGTTAGAGCTGGAGTGACAATTGGAAGCCAAATGAATCATATCAAGTGTGACCATTACAGGCCTGAAAATGATTCTTAATTAACCACTGATCCTCTGTGGTAGCAAGTTTCCAAAATCTGTGAATCCATAAGGGAACCCGTGAAAATATAAAAGTAGCAGTTTACCTAATCTAATAGCTCCACTGTGCTGCCTCTTTGACAACACTTTATTTTCCTCTTGTTTAATGATGTGGTAGTAGAGGTCCTCAGGATCTGATCAGGTTTGGTGAAACCATTGAGAGGACAGTATTGCCTCATGCACTTTACAGGAGATCTAAACTTGCACAGCACTTGGCTCATACATTTCTTTCCTCTTTCCACTTTGTTTTTTTCCAATCTTTTCCTTTGAATTGCAGTATTGTATGCAAATTAATTACTATTTTAAAGTTGTCATGCATAGCCTTTTGCTTTTAACACTAACCAAGAAAGTGGTACTTTTTAACCCAGAGCACTAATTCCATTGTAGCATTGGCTGTGTTAGCTCACTTGTGTAGTATTTCAAAGGGAAAGTCATTCATTCTTCTGTGTTCTTTTCAGGCATGTCCAGGCATCCTCCAGCTCCTGATCTCCCTACCTTCTATCCCTTATCTCCAGGAGGGGTTGGACAGATAACACCACCTCTTGGCTGGTAAGATCTTTTGGCCTCGTTTCAGACAAACGTGCATGTTCACACCGTTCGTTATTGTTGAATCAATTGCAGCATTTACAAAATAATAATGCCATTGCAGTAAGAAATTGCTACTTTATTTTTGTTGAAAAGATCAAAAAATGTTGATCTTTGAAATGAATTGAATCTGGTTTTTGAGCACGTACAGAAATTGAAGTGTGCAGATTTCACTTTGAAGTCTATGTATTTCTTATGGCTCAGATTTGTGGCTCTTAGCATTTGGAAAGATAGCAGAAAACAGTGCTCAAGGAATTAAATGTAAATTTTTAATAAACAAAATTGCAATTATTAAGGGGAGGAGAGGTAAGAAGGAACTTTGAAGTGCGTATATGTGGGGAAATCTTGAAACTGCCCCAAATGTAGAACAAACTTTTGTAGTCTGCTGGTTTTTACAGTTTCTGTATGGAGAGAGCCCTCTGTCATCGGAAAATTCTGCTGCTCTTGCTAATACAAGCACTCCCAGGATCTCTTGCTGCCACTGAGGGTGTAATTTTCCTTTTGGAGGAAATGTATTTTCAGAGTAATAGATTTGGCAGGGTGCTTCATGTCTGCTTGGGGTGCTTGCCCTCAGTTCTGTTGGAGCAGGAGATAAGGAAACTCGGCAACAATTTCAGTGCTTTAGAATCTGTATCTTGTCTCATCTGTGCCCACGCAATGAGAGAGGCAAATTTTTTACATTTTTTTGATGTGTCTATGGGAGGGAAACATGATCCAGATGACAACAGAGAGAAAGTAGAAAGCAGAAGATGGTGAAATGCTGGTCTACTGTCTTTCTGGCATATCTTTTAGGAAGGGCCACATGCCTTTTTGGAACAAGCTATTATCATATATCAAACGGAAATATGGAAGTATACAACTATCTATTTTTATAAATAATTTTGCTGCTCAACTGACTCCTCACCTCCACTACCACCAGGCAGTTGCTGGCATGCATTTTCCAAATGTGGTCAATCATTTGTTCTGA